CCTCTTGCAATCGGCTGGCGTTAATCTCAGGCTCTCCATCGTGGGCTCTCATAGAAGTTTCCCAACAATTCCATGGTCTTTAATGTCCTGCTCTTATGTTCAAGGTGGAGTCTCCAGTCATCTGTAAAATTCTGGATACAGCGGATGAACACGGGCTCCTTTCAGTGCCCAGCTGAAGAGGGGTGGAGCCCGTGAACAAGCCATACCCGTTGCCAACCCCGCCGGCGTTCGCCACGCTAACATCCCCTCCCTGAGATGACAGAGAGCAGCTTTCAGCCAACCAAGCTCACCAGCAGAACTCCATGAGATGAGGGACTCCTGAACCACTTTGTGTATAACTATGTGTATATAAGAGGTTATCGATAAACTTTTAATGATTAAAACCTTGTCTTGCACTTCCTGTGTGCCTTGTGTACGACACGTTCCGCCACCGTCATCATCACTAAGGTGTAACTTAGCGACTTTAAAACGGCAAAATTAACAAGGTTGAGCTTCGAGGGAGGCGTTCAGCTACTATCGCAGCGCTTCCTCCGGTTATTTCTTCCCCCTGCCCAGGCTGCTTTCCAGGACATTTTTAACCCTGTAGGGTTCAGCTCAATACATTTATTTTGCTGCCATCAGTCAGATGTGCTGGTTTGCGTTTCGGCCCGCAGCAACGGCGCGTGCTCCCTGTGTGGGTCACGGATGGCAGCCTGCTCCGTTTCCTCTTCTCTAAAGCTGTTATGCAAGGTCCGGGAATTTTGTAACTGATGCCAGAGGGAAAAGGGCCAACCCTTTGGCATGTGACACACGGAATGCTCCCCAAAATAAACTGCCGGACTGTTGCAGTGTAAGAACCCATTTTATTGTCTCATGGAGGAGAAGAAAACCAAACCAGCAGCAGCAGGATGATGCAGCATTTAAGTTCAAAGTGATGGGTCCTGCTCATATCCTTGTTCCTGGTGGCTTAGCGGTGTGACGGAGCAAACTGGGAAAGGGGGTGGGGTGGGGGAAGAGTCTTCTACTTAGATTTTGGTTTTTCCCCTAGAGTCTTCTACCCAACTTTCTTGTGAAGCATAAGATAAATCAGCAGAGAGTTACTTAAGTTTTAATTCTTTATTTAGCTAGTAGCTTTTAGAAAAGAGAAGACATTCAAAGCGGTCTTTGCCTGACTCTGGGTCTAACTCCGTTTCCCTAACGTTCTTTCCCTTGCCTGACAGTCAGCTGGACCAACCTCCTCCTCGCTCTCATGAATCTGGGCCCCGTACTGACCACAGCGAGCCTCGGGCCACACAGGAGCACCTTGTGGCGCCCCCAGCCTGCGAAGCTTGCGGGAGGGCTCCCCACCTCGCCACCCACCCAGCTTGGGAGGAGCGCTGCAGCACCAGCTCCCGCGGCTGCACCGCTGCCCCTCAGCGGCCTCAGTCCCGGTTCTGGACCGCCAGCGGCGCCGCTCACTCGGGTCCGCAGCGGCGAAGACGTGTCCCAAGGCAACGCAGAGTAAGAAAAAATAAAACCCGTTTAACCTTAGCTACACCCAACCTGCCCGTGCAGTGGGCTGGCTGAGTCCTCTCCTGAGGGCTCTGGCAGCAGGTGGAAATGTTCGATTTATGCCGTCCCTCGCGACAGTCCTAGTTTGGATCGAGCCTGCCCCGTATCCACTTGGCTGCTCTTAGGGAAGGCAGCAGCTTAGCACTGGGCCCAGCTCAGGCCCCGGCGTGGATGTGGATGTACGTGCCACGGTGCCCCGCCGCAGAACGCAGACACGTGGTGCGGGCTGGGACGGTGTCGGGCTCCCTCGGCATCCATCAGGCTAGGCCGTATCAAAACTACAGCACGCTAAACCCTCCTGCGCACCCCTCGGTTGTGGTAATTACATCAGAGGAAAGGATAAGAATAGTTATCTTGCAGAACGTAAAGAATTCCACTTCCCCGCAGAGACGGAAGCCCCCGGCGCGATGGGGAAGCACAACCTCTGACTAAGCGGCACCTTGGTGCGCCACTAATGCCAATTTTTGCCATTTTATGAGCAAACCACACTGTTGCCAAACCCATGAAATCTGCACCCTGTTCCCCATGTTCCTCAGCCTCTACTTCCCCTCGCCCAGGAAGCAACATGCTCGCAGACGTTCCTGCCCTGCGGCCGAACTGCCCGCCAGCACACAAACCCACAAAGGCCAAGAGCGCGCTTTTCTCGTCCGCCCTCTCCAATCTCTCCCCGACCAACTGCTGATTTGGGAGAGAACCAGCGAGGCGGGGGCGAGGGGAGCGGGGAAGACACACGCCAAAACCCCACAGGGCACGACAGACCACGAGTTGATGCTGCGAGAAAGAATTCATTCCAACCAAATTTTATGTTTGAACACATTTGAATCTAACCTAAAAGAAATTCGCAGTGGAGAGCAACTGGCTGCTTCGACCCCCTCCCAGCCGAGCCCTGGGGCGCAGGAAGCTGTCGGTACCAAGACAAAGCAGCCTCGTCTGGTATGCGGAAAGCACAGAGCAGAACTGGGGGGCTGAGGGTCTCTGCGCTGGTCTGCTTAGATTTACGCCCGAGATGTTACGCGGGTTTGCTTCCCGGCGGTTGTTTCCATGCTCATTTAAGAATCAGCAGCGTGGAAAATAACGTGAATGGCAGACAGCAAATCTGCAGCAGCGGCACTGATACCATCTGCAATTAGTCACAGGGAATTACACCCAAGGAAAGTAGATTTGGGAAAGTGAAACATGCCGCTTATCGAAGATATTTACTTCTACAAAGAGAGTTCAAAGCATGAGCGGGCTTAGGGCCCAAACCACAGGATTTCTGCACACAGAAAGAACAAAAATCAGTAACGAGCACTTAACACCCCCGCCCCCCCCAAGCACCTGCACAGGAATGCTCAGAACTCGCTCGAGGGCTCCTCCTGCGCGACCCAGGCCAGCGATAGCACGGCGGCGCTCGCTTCGTGCTGAGACCTGCTGGCTGAGCATCACAAAAGGGAGTCAGAATTTTCTAGAGGGAGTTGTGTCGCTATTGCCACGGCTTTGTTCGTGTTTCCGCTCAAAGATGCTGCTCAAATGCAGCAGCTGTTTGACTTCAGGCGACAGGGATTCACTCCGGAGCTCATTTTTAGTTGTCACTTCAACTCACAAATTATTAATTAGCCGCAAGACCGGGTCAAAAAGCAGAGAGAATGTTCATGTGAGACATCTGCAGAGCTGATAAGAGCTGAGAAGAGTCGGTGGCTCAGTGTGCGAGGCGAGACGGTCCCTGGGACGTTTCCCTCAGCTGAAGGGGTGAAATAGGACGATCAGTCTCAGAAAGATTTTCCCAAGTGGCAAAGAAATGCGGGGTGTTATTCCCTCTCCCTGCGCCCAGGCAGACGAGTGCATTTCCTGGTCATAAATTATTTGTACAGACGTGACTTACGGTTGCCATCCAGCCCCCACACCTAAGCCCGCCTCAGGAAGACAAGCTCCTGCTCCTTTGAGCTCTGCTCTCCCGACGGCCGGTGCTCGTCCCCTCTGGCCTTGAGCAGGTCTCGCACAGGTCCGGCCCTCATCCCTTCGATTACATTTCCAGCACACAGAAATATCCCTGGCAGCCGGGGAACAAGACGATGCGTTTCAGGAATGAAATCTCTTTATTGAGTCCCTGTGGGGAACCACGACCCTGCCGCTCAGCCGCGTTGCGCGTACCTGCCCTACTCGCTCGCGCGGACCTTGCGCATCTGCTGCTCTTTCTCCACAATCCCCAAAATAAGAGGTTGCTTTAAAAAATAAAAGGAGAAGGCAGGCAGACTCGTCGGGGAGAAGTGTCTGCCTACGGGGGGTCGCCCCAAGCTGAAAGCAGGAGCAAGAATCCTTCCTGACATGTCCCAAATGCTCTTAATTTCCTGTCTCTTCTACTAAAGCAAGTCAGGATCTGTCTGAAGAACGGATGATTTCAGGGCAATTCCCAGCACCTGCCAGGGCAGGAAAGCGTCCAGTCAGACTAGAAGGGGAGCACAAACAACCCTGGGGTTTTCCAGCCCCTCAGGCCTGCACGGGGAGCCTCTGGGCTACCGCATGAGTTTCCAGTCACCGGCAGTTACGAAAGAGTGGGGGGGAGGGGGAAAAAAAATCAATAGCGGAAAAAGCAGAGCGGCTGACAGAGCTCCACACCTTGTGCAATCTGTTGACTCCCCTTCTGCTGGCATCCCGAAGTAGCTGCAAACAGAGGGCGATTCGTTCAAGGCAGCACCATAAACACCAAGAACACTGTTATTTTTAATTCCCTAGTTAAAGTGCGCAAAATGTAGGATTGCTCGCTTTGCAGGCGCGCTTCTGGCACGCGAGACCTTGTAATCACACGTAAGAGCCCGACAGGAAAACCTCCCCATCTTAGGAAACACACCCCACAACAAAAACCCCGATCCAGGAGTAAATCAGTTTTCTAACCCTGCGGTCACACTTGGTGCTTCCAGACCTCCCCTGCGATGCTCGGGTAGGAGCGAAGCCAGGAGATGCCGTGGGACGACACCGTTCACGGCCTCTAAGCATTCAAACGCGCAACTTACGCCAAAACAAGCAACTTCCACCTTCGATTTTCCCCTCCGCGATGGGCTGAGCAGCTGCTGGTAGCGGCACGATTGGGAAAGCTTTACAGATTTCACCAGGGGGAGCAGGGTTGGGCAGTTCCTGGGGGGTTCCCGGTCCGCCCCACCCCGCTCCCAGGGCTACAAAAGGCAGCGGTGGCAGCGGTCAGTACCGGCGGGGGAGCAGCGCCGAGGAGAGCGGGTAAAAGAGGGGAAGGGGACAGGGAAGGTCGCTGGAAGTACGAGGGAGCTGTCAGCTCTCTTCCAGCCCTAAATCTGCAATGCATTCAGTGCCCCGGGGCCTTGCTTACCCCCGTGGTGCAGGGCTGCCGGCTGCGGGCTGTTGCGGTTCGGAGCGAGGCGTGAGCTGGGGACGCTGGGCGGTCTGGTGGGGTCCTGCTGGCAGCAGAGGGTCCACGGGGCAGAGCTGCGAGGGTGTTGGGGTCCCTCCTCTTCAGGTCCAAGCCTGGTGGGCGGCAGCGGGGGTTTAAACACCACCAGGTTGCTCACCTGAAGGTCTGCGCTTGCATTTTCCCCTAATAAATACACGGACTGTAGGCGTCAGGGAACTGGTGACGGAGAGACCCGGGGCAGGAGAGGAGCTGGGCAGCGACGCTACCAGGCAATAGGAAGTCTCCAAGGATGAAGGACGCACGGAGCAGTGACCTCTCCTGGTGCAGGCTGCCTCGTACAAGCCTCTGAAGTTGTACTGCAAAGCAAACTTTTCCTTACTCCGACAGGTAAGGCAAAATACACGGTCGCTAGTAAATTCTTGGCAGACCAAACCACCAAGGGGATGGGATCAGGAGAAGACAGGCGATCCCACAGTTACGTGGAGCTCCCTGCCACGTTCCTCCCAAGAATGTTACTGAAGTGGCTGAAGAGGTTTTGGACGGGTCAGACTTACCTGGTTGTTGTGCGCCAGGACGGGAGACGTAAAACCCGAGTCGTGGGCAGTGGTTACGAATGTGCATTTCAGATTTTGCCATGGGAAGGTGCTCGTGCAAAGGCTGCTCACTGCCTGCCTGGGCTGGGAGGGAAGGGATTAAATAAAAATGTTAAAAGAAATCATTCAGACTTTATCGACAGTGATCTGAAATGACCAGCACGCGCCTTCAAACCATTCTCCGACACCATCTTTTACATTGACTCTCGAAAATAATAACGAAGCGAGATGTGGTTTTATGTAGCTAAAAAGGGACTCATAGACACAACCAATGGAGCAATTTCTGTACTGACAAGTAAACTAGGATTTAGGGGTTTTGTAAGGGCGTTCGTTAACACGGAGCATGTTATAACGATGGATTTTACATTTCTTTTTTCCAGGATGAGGATCCTTATTGGAAGCCTTCATTTCTACTTCATTTCTTTCTTATTCAGTGGAGCAAAGGGATTCCTAACTCTGAGGACACCCACAGCCTATACCTTCCCATTTTATAACTACTCCTATTTAAACCTCTCTTCCGTATCAGAAGCACAAGCTCCAAAAACAGCAAGAGCTCTCAATTTCTCACATAACTTAATTGAACAAATAACCAAGAGAGACTTGGAAGGTTTTGACACGCTGGAAGTTTTAGACCTTTCCTACAATCGGATTAAGGACATCGAACCCGGTGCGTTCGAGAGGCTGCTCAGCCTCGTTTCTCTGAATTTATCATTTAATGATAAGAAGCTTCTTGTACTGGGTCTTCCACCCCACCTGAAGCTCTTAACCAGTAGCGAAGCCTCAGGGTCTTTACAGCTTTTAAAGGATTTGGACAAATCACCAGGGGCTGCTCTGGAGCCCTCTGCATCCGCCAAGGAGCTGCCCCATTCCGGAGGGCTGCCTGCCCGGCAAAACGTTCATCCGAGGCTCCGACGAGGTACAGAGAATCTTCTTCGACGAGCAGAGAAAAACACAACGGTCTCTCCCATGGCCACATTAAGGCCTAATTTCTGCGGAGCACCAGTAAATGGGATACTCAATCTGTCGAACAGCAAACTCTCTGAGGAAGAGCTGATGTTAAAACTGGATCCAGATGCCTGCCAAGCTCAGCTGGACGCTATCTTGGAGCTTGACATTAGCCACAGTGACCTGGAAATGGATCTGCTGTCGCTGTTCGTTCTGTTTCTGCCCATGAAAAACGTGCGGTCCATTGATGCCAGTTACAACAAATTAACAATTAACATTCTAGACGCCGAGGCGATCTGTAACTTCCCGCTCAGCAAGGTGTTGTTTTTAAATATTAGCAACAACCCCATAAACAGCTTGGATACGCTGTGCCTGCCTTCAACCATCAGGGCAATTGACTTGTCCTTCACAAACATAAGCCAAATACCCCCAAATTTTGCTAAGAAGATGTTTAACTTAGAAAACATGTACGTTCAAGGAAATCACTTCATATACACTGTACGCCCAGAAACCCCTAACGCAGTTCCAGAAGTCCCCCCCGGAACTGTACGCATCAACGCCATTTCGTTCGTCAGAAACCAGGCCGGTACACCCATCGAGAGCCTTCCCAAGAAAGTGAAACGCCTGAAAATGTCCAACTGCTCCATCGTAGAACTGCCAGAGTGGTTTGCTGGCACAATGGAAGAATTAGTATTTTTGGATCTTAGCAGCAACCGGATTTCCATGCTTCCTGACTTACCTCCCTCCCTGCAGCATCTCGACATAAGCAACAGCGATATTAAAATAATACCCCCTAGTTTTAACTCCGTCTCCAACTTAACAATACTTAGTATCCAAAATAACAAAATTACGGATATGCATCCTGAGCATTTCCCGTTGACTTTAACAAAATGCGATATTAGTAAAAATAAGTTGAACAAGTTGTCGTTAACAGACGCCCTGGAGAAACTCCAATATCTCAATGTTTCTGGCAACCTGATCACCAGACTGGAACCCACTGGCAACCTTTCTGCGCTCGCTAACCTGGACAGTAGCCACAACCTAATTTCAGAAGTCCCTGATCACTTTGGGAAATCTCTTCCAATGCTGAAATATTTTAATTTATCGGGGAATAAGATCTCCTTTCTACAGCGTGGTGCTCTCCCGGCCTCTCTGATTGAGCTTGACATTAGCGACAACGCCATTACTACCATAGTGGAGGACACTTTTGGCCAGTTAACCAGTTTGAGCGTTTTGACTGTTCAAGGTAAACATTTTTTTTGTAACTGTGACTTGTACTGGTTCGTGAACGTGTACATCCACAACCCGCACCTGCAGATAAATGGCAAAGGCAATCTCTGGTGCAGCTTCCCACCAGACAGAAGGGGCTCGTTGGTGGAGAGCAGCAACCTCACGCTTCTGCGCTGCTCCCTGGGTGTCCAGATGGCCGTTACAGCTTGCGTGGCCGTCCTGGTTGTTTTGGTGCTAACAGGCTTATGCTGGCAGTTCGACGGGCCGTGGTACGTGCGAATGGGTTGGTACTGGTGCATGGCGAAGAGGAAGCAGTACGAGAAGAGGCCAGAAAACAAGCTCTTTGATGCCTTCGTTTCATACAGCGAACAAGACGCAAACTGGACCAAAGAGAATCTACTGGAAAAAATGGAAGCTGACGGATTCAAGATCTGTTACCACGAGAGGGATTTCAAGCCAGGGCATCCTGTGCTTGGTAACATTTTTTACTGCATAGAGAACAGCCATAAAGTCCTTTTTGTTCTCTCTCCCAGTTTTGTAAACAGCTGCTGGTGTCAGTATGAACTGTATTTTGCTGAGCACCGGGTCCTGAATGAAAATCAGGATTCCCTCATCATGATTGTGCTGGAAGACCTCCCGCCCCACAGCGTGCCGCAGAAGTTCAGCAAACTCAGGAAGCTGCTGAAAAGAAAAACCTACTTGAAGTGGAGCCCTGAGGAACGCAAACAGAAAGTGTTCTGGCATCAGCTAGCTGCTGTCTTACGAACAACCAACGAACCACTTATGAGAGCGGAAAACGGATCCGCTCGGGATACGTACGAGTTGGAATGAGATGTGAGAACGTGTAAAGGTTGTGCCTGGGAAGCCTGCGGTTAAATAAAAGCGTTTCTGTGTTTACCTCCTGCAAAGGCTGCTGTGTTGCAGTGGGGGTTTGTCTCGGATCAGTGCCAGGAGAGATCACTACTGGGTTGGTAGCACGCGCGTTAGTCCGTCCGATGAAAGAATCCGAAGGGCTGAGAGCTGAGCACTTTAAACAGCCTTTTCCTCCCGGGTGCTTGGTTCTCTTCAGCTATTTCCAGCATTTCCTAAAATGCTGTAATGTCACCTGAAAGGAAGAACAGCTCGAGTCACGCTGCATGTCCTAACCCTGGTTTTGGGATTATTGCAGAAAGAATGGAACGTGAGGTCATTCAGAGGGAAAGCTGCAGTTCAGATTCTTGGTTCTAGTCCAGCTTAAGACAGGAACACAGAGCGTGTACACGTAAGAAAACCACAAACCACCACACCACACAGGTATCACTTTCCTTCTGTGGCTTAGCAAGAAAAGATTAAAGACTGACTTAATGCAGCCGTCCGGGAGCTGCAATTGCAAATCCGCACTGCTACATCGCTTGGTTTAAGTAACTGGTGGAAGAGACCAGCCCCTAAAACCTTTTCTAATTACAGATTAACATATACAACCAGGCCATCAAAAAAGAGCCAGCTGAGCGCGCCAGCCTCTGGTGTTAAATAATCGGTGTGAGCTTTATTTAAATGCTGTCATCACAAAGCTCTGAAGAATAAGCAAGGAAGTTCTGTCTTAACACTGTTTAGACTTAGGGAAGCTTCACTTGACACAATCAGCCTGACCCATTTCAAATGAATTCAGTGCTCCCTTTGCACAGCCCTTGCCATCACCTAGTACTACTTAATAGTTCTATTTATTGTATTTGGGGGAAAAAATAAATAAATTCAGCTGATCTAGTGTCCACTTTCGAGAAAAACCAACAGACTGCGACACTAAGTAAATACCAGGTGAGAACAAATCATGTAGCGTAGCACAGTCTGGACTCGCTCGTAAGATGAGCAGCCCCAGGTGACTTACCAGCAGAAGAGCACAGACCCAGGGACGCAGAACGCCGAGGCACGACACATGGGGCAGCACGTTCGGAACGCGTACTCTGAAAAGGAACTAGCTCTGCTGCGACAAAGGAAGACCAACGCCATCCTATGTGATGCCAAAAGGGGAGACACGAAACAAACAGAAAGAGATGTCAGTAAATCCAGCAACTCTTCTGCGACGTGTTTCGAAAAGGAAAAGATCCAGCTGGAGCAGCAACAGGGTTTTCACCCTCCCTGTGCTGCTTCCTAGCAAAAAGGGAAAACCCCACACTGCAGGGCGCAGCATGTGGGACTCTTGGAACCACGGTTCAGGGACAGCTTTTGTAGTGAATGAGAGCATTTTCCTAATGCTAAACTAAACCCACTTTAAATAGGAACTGACAACGACCTGTTGTCAGCATTTATCAGCACATACTGAACGCCATTTTAAAGTCAACTTGCCAGTACTGATTAAACTTAAGGATACTGAGCTTGGTACATCCAGCGAGCACAGTGCTCGAACTCGATGATAACCAGAGGGCTATTCAAATCAAAGACATCTGCATCAACTGCACCGCAGGACAGAACCGATGCTCACAAACCCCAGAAGTGCTTTGAAATTGCCTCCTTCCCCTTTGCCCCATGGTGCTGATTCTCCAGTTTTCCACCAGCGCAAGCAACAAGAAGCAGAGCAGCACTTACCCTCCTCTACCGTCTCCGTTTACAGAGACAGAACTCTGTACTCTGTGCAAACTCACCTTTCCTCAGCAAGCACGAGGAGTCATGTACGCTGACTGTCATGAAAACAGAATTATTTTCCTGTTCCTTAAAGTGCTGTCAGCCTGGCAGCCAGCTAACTGGTGAAAGAGAGAGACAGGACCTTGTTTCCTGGTCTGCGCGGCACAAGCAGAATTGCTTACCAGTGCTCAGTGGCAATGTAATCACCCACCCACCTGTGGCATTGGTGCAAAAACGCTCCTCTTAAATACTAAAAAAAAAAAAAAAAAAAAAAAAAATTCAAAACACGTTCAAAACAGACAGATGGCAAAGCTAGAAAACGTCCACTGGACTCCACCTTAACCCCTGTGAGACTATTCTATTATTTTAAGATACGACACCGCCTGCCTTCTCTCCGTTTCCATCGTGAACACCTCACGTTGCTCTCTGTAGCCCTGCTTTGCCTCCTCGTGGAAGAAGGTGGAGAGAGAACGGTGCAGGGAGCACAACGGAAGTCCCTGTACTTTTTATTCCCTGTGCTGCAGGTGCGGGGGTATTGAAGATGAGATGGGGGAGAATTTCCACAGCTTTCCTAACAAGTGACAAATTACATACCTAAACCAGACATACCATAAAATACCACAAGATACCACAAAAGGATTAGGCACTGATCCTCCTGACTATCGTCCGTCCAATTTTTGCAGCTCTAATCTCTCGTCTAAAAAGTTCTGGGGCGGTGCCCAACTGTTGGAACATTCTTGAGCAACTTCTGTTTAAAATTATTTGGCATTAGCAGCTTTTAGGTTTTATATATAAAGGATAAGAAATACAATACTGCAGGCCTCCAGCGGAAAAAGTCAACTCATCACCATAAAGCAAGATCTAAGACTTCAAAAAGTCTGTGAATTACAGAATCTTTCAAATATTTCTGTCCATGTAAACAACCAGACGTCACCTGTTCGTGAGATCAGCCCCAAGTAATTCATCAGCTGTTTTTCTAATAAGCTGCTTTATGCTTTCTTTGAGGCTGCTCCTGATCTCATGAGATACCCTGGTCAAACTGTCAGTAGCACACCAAACACCGCAAATGCAGGTTTTCAATAATAAAGCGTAAATGGTCCTCGGACCAAATGTCGTGACAGCAGCCAACACCAGCAACTTCAAAGGAAGCCGAGGAGCACACTGAAAGCACACTTTGGATACGATGTTCCGCCGCGATGGGTTCATCCTAACCCCAGAAATCAAAGATTGCCTTAATTCCCAGAGTATAAAGTTTTACATATATTGCAAAACGTGTTGGTGGTAACTGTCAGGTTCCCAATACCCGTATTACCCACGTGAAATACCTGTTAAGCCTTCCTAGTTTTTTCTCAGCGGCTCTGCAGCGACACAGCGTACGTACAGGCAGTAAGGGAAGCACCGCGCTTCATGAGTCTTGCATTCGCCACCTTTCACACTCCTGAGATGCTTTCTGGTTCTTGCGCTACGGACGGCACTAACTACAGACCTAATTGTTCCAAAGCACTCACTGCTCCCATGCTTTTACTGCTTACTCTCTTACCCACCTCCTCTCTTCATGTACATTTTCCGCCGCCTTCACCCAGCACTCCGCTGCTTCCCCTCTCCATCAAATTTCTGCCTTTTTAACCTCGCGGTCCCGCTTTACTGGTTCTGTGCTCAGCAGAAGGTGGTTCCGATACAACAAGGGGGCTAAAAGGAAAAAGCAAAGTTATACCCCAGAAGAGACCAAACCAATTATTTTTCGTATGATAAGTACTTCAGTTTATGATTCACTCCAAAGAAATTGTACCTACATGTTTTCAAAATCCAATCTCCGTTTACTACATCCATAAGCCTCCCCCAAAACAGTTATTTAGTACAACTGACAACTTAAATCAGATTTTGTTCCTGCTGCAGATTAAAAGGCGCTGCACCTTCCTATCTGATGCTATAAACACATCAACACGTGGGTTGTGTTAAAAATACAGCTGGCACCAGGAGTTAACAGAAGAGCTCTGAAGGGACTTCACTTCTTGTGTCTTAATGATAAATCGTAAAGGCAACAAAATCTCCTTCTATCCTAAAGCCGTACCCTTCTTGCTTTGCTCCCACATGAACAGCCAATGCGAATCACTTTTATGAATCAGGCGTGAGGGATTTCACCTTCTACCATGTGATGAAGTTCACGTGATCCAACCCAAAAGCACGGTAGGAGTCGTGCAAACATGCAGCAAACCCCCGAACTGCTTAATGCTAAAACCAGTCTTACTGCAGATCTCCAGCTCCCTTAAAATACGCACAGGACCCCACCCTGCAACTGCTTTTGGGGTCCTGCCCTATGCTCCTTACCATCCGAATCTGTAACTGCTGCTAGGAACGTATAGTTCGAGACAAAATGACAGGAGCCCACGTAATTTTTCCCCTCCAAATTCGTACTAGAGAGAAATGTAAAGAGAGCAAAACCAAACAAGACAGATCTTTTAGTTATCTTTTATAACTCCTTTAGAAAGAACCGCGTTATTCATTTATAGAGAAAAATATCTGGGCAGAGAGAAAAGACTTATGGAAGTAATTTCAATTTTACATTTGTATTAGAAAGTTGTTCACATCCATTTTATTGCAAGAAAGCTGTCTTGAGTTACTCAAAATTAATCAAAATTCAGAGTGTTAAACAAAGAGCAGCGTTCATAATGCAACGGTCTTCGAGGAAACCCTTGAGAATAGTTAACAAACAGCCTAAACCACCACCAACCCCCAGACAGCCACGATGGGAACGCTTTTTGTTTCTAAACCAGCACGTCATCTTCCCGTCACTGTGATTTTGCTCAAGATGCGGCATTTTCCTACAACGAGGCACCAGAAGTCTGTGGCACAATTCTTTCGGAGATGCTAAGGCTCTGCCGAAGTCCACAGAAGTTGGAAGGCGATTGCTTGTTTTGAAAAGACCTGGCCACTTAAAGCGATAATTGCCAGGAATTTCAACACCCCCGGATTATTCCGTTTCATAAGGGATTCCCACAACACACAACACAAACGGCCGGAGTTATAAAAAAAATATTTAACTCCTGTTGTTTGCTCACGGTGTAGACCAACAAATGAAGTTTACAAGTAGACAGATTATTAATCTTTAAATCCAACTGATGTTAGATTTCTTAAGGAAACCTCAAAAACTCGTAGTCATCTTGTTATGTGGTGACTCTGCTGCTAAAAACGTTAAGAGCTGTCAGTTCTACCTCTCGGGAACATCACAGCCAAATCCCCCCGATTCCCGCTTTTATACAAAGTCATGGATCAAAAAAAGCAACCAGCAACCATACTCTTTGTGTAACCATTAGAAATTAGAACAAATTAGAAAATTCCAGAGGTGACAGCATTACTAATAGCGTATCAGTACGATCATATTGCAATATTCATCTTTATCCTCAAGTAAAACCCATAATTAGGTATTGCACAGTTATTTCTATCAGATGGAAAATACTTCTCCAAATAGATTATTTTGGAATACATAACACCACCGATCCTTAAAATAAATGTACAGCAGAAATT